ATGTAATTCTTTTTTGAATTATTTTAACTAGTCCAAGGGCCATATAAAAACAAATGATGGGCCATGCCACCCCCTGGACTGGACAATCTCAAGGATACTTCTAGAACTGACTTTCTAAAATGCTCTGATTCTCAATCCACAGATACTTCTGTAGCTTTAAACCCACAGGTGTCCAAATTCTAAGCTATATCCATATGCCTCCAGAGGTCTTATTTTTCTCCTAAAAGTTCCCCTATTCCCTACCTCGACCTTTGATGTCCAGCATGGCAGCCACCAGCCACCAGCCACATGTGGCATTGAGCATGTGGAATGCATCTCATTCTGAGATGTAAAAATCTGTGAGTGAAAAATACATACCAGGTTCCAAAGACTTCATACAAAAGAAACTGAAGTAGGTCATTTACACCTTCTTTACATTGATGATATGTTGCAATGATAATATTTTGGATATATTGGATTATGTCAAATATATCACTAAAATCAGTCTCACCTGCTTTGCTTTCCAGAATGTGGCTATTCGACATTCAAAATTATATTTGAGCCCTGGCCGGTTTGGCTCAGCGGTTAGAGTGTCGGCCTGCGGTCCTGAGAGACCCGGGTTCGGTTCCCGCTAAGGGCATGTACCTCGGTTGCAGTTTGTCCCCGGCCCTGGTTGGTTGTGCGGGTGGCAGCCACTCGATGTGTCCCTTTCACATCGATGTTTCTCTCTCTCTCTCTGTTCCTCTCCCCCCCCCCCCCCCCACTCTACCTGAACAAAAAATGGAAAAATGTCCTCGGGTGAGGATAAAAAAAAAAAAAAAAAAAAAAAAAATTATATTTGAGGCTTGAATCCTGTTTCTATTGGAAAGCACTATTTTTTAGAGAGGAAAAGAGAGGGACAATAATTCATATAAAATCCGATAGCATGCAGAGTTACATCTTCCCAACAGGCATTTAAGGTGACTATGCTGTTCTCATTGCTTTGCCCATAAAAACAAAATAATGGGGCTCTGGCTGGTTTGGCTCAGCGGTCAGAGTGTCGGCCTGCAGTCCAGAGAGACCCGGGTTCGGTTCCCGCTAAGGGCAAGTGCCTTGGTTGCTGTCTGTCCCCAGCCCTGGTTGGGTTGTGCGAGTGGCAGCCACTCAATGTGTCCCTTTCACATCAATAGTTCTCTCTCTCACTCTCCCTCCCACTCTATCTGAACAAAATACAGGAAAAAGTGTCCTCAGGTGAGGATAAAAAAATAATAATGGGGAGGAAGGGATGAACACGTGGAGCACAGATGATGTTTAAGGAGACAAAACTATTCTGTATGACACCATAATGATGAATATGTGTCATTATACATTTCTCCAAACCCATAGAATGTATAACACAGAGAGTGAACCCTGATGTCAACTATGGATATTGAGTAATGATGTATCAATGCAGGTTCATCAATTGTAACAAAGTCCACTCTGGTGGGGACTGCTGATAATGGGGGAACCTGTGCAAATGTGAGAGCAGGAGATAAATAGGAAATCTCTGTACCACTGTACAATTTTGCTGTAAACCTAAAACTGCTCTAAAAATAAGGTCTATTTTGCCCTGGCCGGTTTTGTTCAGCGGTTAGAGCGTCGGTCTGCAGTCCAGAGAAACCCGGTTCGGTTCCTGCTAAGGGCATGTACCTCGGTTGCAGTTTGTCTCCGGCCCTGGTTGGGTCGTGCAGGTGGTGACCATTCGATGTGTCCCTTTCACGTCGATGTTTCTCTCTCTCTCTCTCTCTTCTTCTCTCTCCCTCCCACTCTATCTGAACAACAAAAAAAAAGGAAAAATGTCCTCGGGTGAGGATTAAATAAATAAATAAAGTCTATTTTATAAAACCAAACATATCTTTTTATTTTAATGCAATCATAAATTCTTATTAGCAATAGTTGAAAGAAAGAAAGAAAGAAAGAAAGAAAGAAAGAAAGAAAGAAAGAGAGTTAGTTCAGTCCAATGGTTCACAATCTAGGGTGATTCTATCTCCAGGAGACAGTGATGTCTGGGGACATCTATGGTTTTTACAACTGGGGGTGCTCCTGGCATCAAGAGGGTGGGACTAGGGATGCTCCTCAATACCCCAGTGTCCATGGCCCTGATGACCCAGCCCCAGTGTCCCCAGTGCCACGAGGCAAGAGGGAAGACCTGGTTTAGTCAAATCCCATCTTGTTAATAACAAGAACACTTAATAATTACAGTGCACTTTAGAATTCCTACTGTGTCCTTCCACAGGAGCTTTATTTGATCCACACAGCCTAGAAAGTGGCCAAGGTAGGTGCTCAGACCCCATCTTACAAGAAATCAAGAGGTTCTAAGGATACAAGGTCACCTGTTGCCTCTTCTACACCCCTCCCCATAAACTTGAAAACTCTCACTTCCTCCCCTGGCCCACATTCCCATTGGCCCTGTGGGACACAGAGTTCTCCACTTTCTATAAGATGGCGTAGATTTTCATTTTTCTAGTGTGGAGAAAGGGGGGATGGAGGAAAGAGAAGAACATTTGGCAATTAGGACCACAAGGCCCTGGAAAAACTTAATTTCACCCCACAGGTGACTGCTTTCTGAGTAGTGCATTGTATCCCCCAAAAAGATACCTCTGCATCCTAACCCTGGTACCTAGGAATGGAATCTTGTTTGGAAATGGAATCTTTGCAGTTGTAATAAAGTTAGGGTGAGGTCATACTGGAGTAGGGTGGCCCTAATCTAAGGCCTGGTGTCCTTATAGAAGAGAAAGATTTGGACACAGAGACATGACAAGCACTCTGGCCTTGACCACACACTGCTCAGGCTACACTGAACTATTCAATCTGGCCTCAGCTTTCGGGAAGAATTCTGCTAAGGTAGTTGATCATTCAATCCTCCATCTTTCATATCTGACCACTGTCATATCTAATGGGGTCCTCAATCCCGGTCCTTCCCCAGGCGATGTTGGATCACTCCACCTACAACAGTAATCCTGTTAGGCAGTGTAGCCAGAATCCCTCTGTTGTTTCCCTTTAGTGATTTTTTCATCCACTGACCCCTGCTCCTTGGCTGTAAGGCTCCACTGGTCCAAGCTATACTCAAAGTTGAGCCCAGATCTACACAGGGTTTTACAGGAACTCCTGAATAAATCTGACAATTACCTGGGTCTGACATACATAGGGAGAGGCCATGTGATGACAGAGGCAGAGGCTGGAGAGATGCAACTACAAGCCCAGGATGGCTGAAAACCACCAGAAGCTGGAAGAGGCAGGCAGGACCCTCCCTTAGAGCCTCCAGAGGGAATGCGGCCCTGCAACACCTTGGTCTCAGACTTCTGGGTTCCAGAACTGGGAGAGAATAGACTTCTGTTGCTTCAAGCCACCTTGAAGCCACCAAGGCAGAATACTCTGTCTGTGGTGCTTTGTTACGGGGGCCACAGAAAGTCACTAAGGCAAAGAGAAGCCAGGTGGCATTGGAGTCTTATTCACTGATCTCCCAGCCACAGTCTGTCTGTTCCAGCACGATGTCTGTATGGACATCTACATTTAATTTCACTGGATTCACCTCCAATCTTTGGTTCCTCCTGATTTTTTGTGTTCAAATTAGGCAGTTTCTTAAGGAGACAGGGGCAGGGGTCATGGCCTTGACAACAATGGACAAAAGATATGACCAGTAGTAACTGTCAAGCAGAGCTGGCGAGCAATCCAGGTTCACCTGGCCCCGGCCCGGGTCCCTCCTCATGTCAGCATAGCAGCAGTGGGAAACCTACACATGTGCACACATGCAAGCCCACGGTGATGACAGCATACTCTCAACTAACTGACAGACATCAAAGATGAACTGTCTCTATTTTATCATCTCCAAACAGTTAACTTTCAGAAATTCCAAAAAAGGTAGCAATTCCTGCAAATCAGTTTGTCTTGCTTAGCACTGTATCCTGGAATCAAGTGGGTGGGGGCCAGGGATGCTGCTCAACTCTCCACAGTTCCCTGGATTGCCTCCCACAGAGAACAACAGGTGCCAATGTCCGCAGTATCCGGGGGAGACATGGAAAGACCCAGCCCCACCTTGGTGCTCACACAGGGCTGTGCCCCTCACCTGTCCCCTGGCTAATTTGCCAGTGCAAAGCTTCTCTCGGGTCTCTTCACCTAACCATCCATCCTATGCACAGGTGTTATCCCCACGTCTCTGCCTCCTGAAAAACTCATTGTCACTGAACCTGTGGAGCTCATGGAATACATAGGTCTGGATTCCCATCTCTATTACCCCCAGAGACCCCAACTCAGAGAGCTGGGCCTGTGTCCCGTCTCCACAATTCCCCATGTATGCACACAAGCGTCTTATTCAAATGGTACTCCCTGCGCCTGGCACACGTTCTGATGCTTAAAATAGGCACACAACCAGCCTTTGTTGGGGAGAGGAAGGAAGAAAGGTTTTAGACAAAGGAGACAGCAACCCAGCCATCCAGAAACACTGGGCATGTGCTGGGGTGGGTTGTAATGGGGACTGTTCCTGGAGTCAAAGTAAAGGTCCTCAGGAAAAGTAAGGTGGGGCCAACTCCCGCAGTGCCATGAAGGCTGAGTGACGGATTTTATTTTTACTCCCTCAAAACAGAAAAAAAAACTAGTTAAGAATTGTAAAAAGCTAATCCTGACTGGTTTTCTCAATGGTTAGAGTTGTCAGCCTACAAACTGAAGGGTCTTGGGTTTAATTCCCAGTCAAGGGCACCTACCTGGGTTGCAGGTTCGATCCCTGGCCCTGGTCAGAGTCATGCAGGAGGCAACCAATCAATGTGTCTCTCTCACATTGATGCTTTTCTCTCTCTCCCTCCCTCCCTTCCACTCTATCTAAAAAAAAAAAAAAAAAAAAAAAAAAAAATCAATGGAAAAATAGCCCCGGGTGAGGATTTTTTTTAAATTGTAAAAAGTTAGGTAAAGACAAGAGGGAAATACACAAAATCATTAGGTAAAAGATTGGTATCCTATCCACAACCAGAGAAAACTATATGATCTAACATTTGTAACCTGAGAAAAACCAGAGGAGAGCACGAACACAGTCCCCGACTACCACAAATTATGCAGTTGAATCTCCCACATTTGGGGAAATCACAGGGGTCAGCAGAGTGCAATGGATAAGACTCACGCTGGGAAAACCGCCTTTATGATTATGGTATCTCCCCTGCCAGGTAAGTATGTGAGGGATTTTGATTTTTCCAAGTGGGTGATGAGCTGGTGAAGGTGGCAGGGAAATGACAAACCCATCTGTCCTTTAAAGAGTGGGTCCCAGTCATATGGGGTTGATCCAGCAGAGTGGGAAAGTTTGGAAGCTGATCCAGCAGCTGGGATGCTCTAAGCAAGAGACAGTGAAGCACTTAACTCAAGGGAAAGAAACAGGGAAGGGACAGAGGTAAAACCCAGAGGGCTAACACCAGACAATGCCCCCCAAGCTGAGGTTTAGTGGGCTGTCGCCTGACCAGAGAAGCCATTTAAATTGCAGCATGATTCCTCAATACCAAAGGTAGGAGCAAAGCAACCCAGATGTCCATCACCTGATGAATGAATAAATACAATATGTCCATTCACATGAAAAGGAGTGAAGCACTGACACTCACTACAACATGGGTGAATCTTGAACACATGATGCTCAGTGAGAGAAGCCAGCACAAAAGGCCACATAGTGCGTGATACCGTTTATGTGAAATGTCCAGAAGATGGTAATGGTTGCCATGGACTGGGGAGAAGACCTGGAGGGGAGTGATTGCTGTGGGGACAGGGGATCTTATTGGGAAATGGAATGTTCTAAAATGGGTTTAAGGGAGCCCTGGCAGTGTGGCTTGGTTGGTTGAGCGTTCTCCCATGCACTAAAAGGTCACTGGTTCAATTCCCGATCAGGGCACCTGGGTTGTAGGCTCGATCCCCAGTAAGAGGCATGCAGGAGAGGCAGTCGATGGATATTTCTCTCTGGCACTGATGTTTCTGTTTCTGTCTCTTTTTCCCTCTCCCTCCCCACTTCCACTCTCTCTCTGAAAACAACAACAACAAAAAAAAACAATAAAAATACCATTTTTAAAAATGAATAAATAAAATGGGTTTAGGGGACAGTTGCACAATTTGATACCCTTACCAAAAAAATTGAACTGTATGCTTAAAGTGGCTGAATTTTTAATTTTTATTTTTTATCCTCACCCGAAGACATTTTTCCAGATAGAGTGGGAGGGGGAGAGAGAGAGAGAGACAGAAACATCGACGTGAGAGAGACACATCGAGTGGTTGCCACCCACACAACCCAACCAGGGCCGGGGACAAACTGCAACCGAGGTACGTGCCCTTAGCAGGAACCGAACCCAGGTCTCTCTAGATCGCAGGCCGATGCTCTAACCGCTGAGCCAAACCGGCCAGGGCTTTCCATTGATTTTTAGATAGAGCAGAGGGAGGGAGAGAGAGAGACAGAGAGAGAGAGAAAGTGAGAGAGAAAGGAACATTGATGTGAGAGAGACACATCAATTGGTTCCTCCCGCATGACCCCAACCTGGGCTGGAGATCGAACCTGCAAACCAGGTACATGCCCTTGACCAGGAATTGAACCCATGACCCTTCGATCCTTGGGCCTACGCTTTAACCACTGAGTAAAACCAGCCAGGGCTGGCTGAGTTTCGTGATACGAAAATTGAACCTCAATTTTAAAGAAATTAAAAAACAATAAGACTTTCTCCTTTGTAAGATCCTCAAGGAGAACTAGTAGCCATTTCTGAAAGAGTCTCAGGAACTGCCAAAGCCTCCTGCCCACCCACCGGCAGGACAAAATACACCGAGAGAATTCAGCTAATCAACACCCTGCAGGGTGGTCAAGGAGGAGAAGCATGAAGTGACTGCCTGAGACAGGTCACCCCACCATTTTAGCTCCCCCATCTGATCTCTAAGGTCTCCTGGGTGACATATGTAAAGAACACTTTTCTCTAGACCCTGAAAGGAGGGAAGCCACGCCAAAGGGCAGCACAAGATAGAAGGGATGAAAACCAAAGTCCAGAACCATCAAAAGGAACAGTGGGAACCAGAGGGAGGCTCCCTAGCATCGGTAGGGACCTGGGATTGCAGAAGCTAGCCCCTAAAGAACCAGGGGACCCAGGCCCAGCACTTAAAGGACCCAAGCAGAGGGTGAATTGGAGACAAAGCTTAAATGGCTGCTCTTATCAGTTAAGACACAAAGGAAGGGGGGAAATAAATGTGTGTCAACACCCAGCAATCACATAACAGTCCTGGCAACCAGACTCTCTAAAAAGCTCCAGAAAGTTCCCAAGTCATGGAGACCAGGCCCACTGACCCTTTTGTAAGAAATTATGTAAGAAGTTACAACGGATATTCAAGAATACAAATGACAGTAAATACAAGATGATTATTTGTTTACAAATAATGATAACAGCTTGAATGGAAAAACTTTACACTACATGGTAGACCAAAACATAAATGACTCCATTCAGTAAATAAGGAGCTGAACTGTCTGTGAGTCAGGGTAATTCTCATTCAGTTGTCTTTCCCTTCAAACAATAGGGCCCAAGATTTAACAAGAGCAGAAGACCAAGAATTACCTGAAGAATTCAAGCTTAATGCTCTAGGTCAAAACCAAGGAAGCAAATTGCACACTTTGGCATCTTTCTATAACTACAAGATTATTTAATCCCATATTTAAAATCAGTCTAAGTGGTTAAAAGCCACACAAAGACTCACCTAGAAAGAGGCCAGTGTTTCTAAAATTCTCTAAAAGCAGTGTGATTTTTTTCCTCTTAAAATGAGAGCACTGGCCCTGGCCAGTTAGGCTTAGCAGTTAAGAGTGTGGGCCCACATAGCCCTGGCCATTTGGCTCAGCAGTTAGAGCATCAGCCTGCGGTCCAGAGAGAACCGGGTTCGGTTCCCGCTAAGGGCACGTACCTCGGTTGCAGTTTGTCCCTGGCCCTGGTTGAATAATGTGGGTGGCAGCCACTCAATGTGTCCCTTTCCGTCGATGTTTCTCTCTCTCTCTCTCCCTCCCGCTCTGTCTGAACAACAACAACAAAAAAGAATGGAAAAATGTCCTTGGGTGAGGATAAAAAAAAAGAGTGTGGGCCCACTGACCACAGGGTCACGGGTTGGATTCCCAGTCAAGGGCACATACCTGGGTTGCAGGTTTGATACCTGTCCCCAGTCAGGGTCGTGCAGGAAGCAACCAATCGATATGTCTCTCTCACATCGATGTTTCTCTCTCTCCTTCCTTTCCATTGTCTCTAAAAAATCAATGGAAAGATATCCTACGGTGAGAACAGAAAAGACAGACAGACAGAAAGAAAGAAACTGGATGATTTAAAACAACCCCCAAGTCTGGCTGAACTTCCTAAGAATCAAAGGTGAGATGTGGTTTTTAAAGGAGAAAACTTAGTTTTATTTATAACAGGAGTCTCAATTGGGGCAATGCTACTCCCAGGAGACACTGGGTGCCGTGTGGGGACATTTGTGGTTGTCATGACTAGGGGTGATTATGGCATTGAGTCAGTGGGGGCCAGGGATGCTGCTCAGCACCTCACAGTGCCCAGGACAGCCCCAAAGTCAACTGAGCCCATGGAGGGACCTAGGCTTATCAGAGTAGATGATCGTGGCCCAATGGTTCCCTCCAGGGTATACATCCGAATAGCTGTTGTGGGGTACATCTAACCTTCTCTTAAGCAGACATGCTTGTTCCTTAACAAATCTTCAGAATCTCCTGGCATCAGATTCAAACAGATTCTTCTTTTTCTGTTTTTTATTTTCCTCCTCACTTTTAATAATAGGGACATTTTTCTTCTTTTTCTTTCTTTCTTTCTTTTTTTTTGGCAGATGTTTTTTGTGAAAGCTCGAGGAGTAATTATTATGTGCGCCCCCAAGGTTGAAGGACTGGAGTGGAGCTGATTTCTTCCCTCCCTCCCTGACAACCCAGTTGTTCTACCCACTCACCTTTCTCCCCTCCCCGCCAAAAAACCTTAATTTAGAACATTATTATCAATGCTACATGTAGCCTGGCCATGTACCAGAAGTATGCTAGGTGCACACACTCTCTCATTTGACTTTGACTTTCCCAACAATCCTATGAAGTGCCCACTACTGTTTTGTTATTCACATCTTATGGAGGAGTAAACTAAAGCTCCCAAAGGCCACTTGGCCAAGCATGAGCCCTATACACTGTTCATCTCCACGCTACACTGCTAATCTTGGGGAAACCTAGGCATCTGAGAAAGAAGTTTATGAACTTGGCCTTTGCCTTGCTGACACCTAGCAACAGTGGGAGCCTCTTCCCTGCTGCTCATCACATCTGTCTTCTCCCACCCACCTTCCAGCCCCTAGCAACCCCCGTTCCCCAGGAATAATAAAGTGCCAAAGTGCTGCCCACATCCCTCAGTATCATCGTCCCCAAAACTCCCACTTTGGTTCCTCACTTCTGAGCCCAACAACTCCTGAAAAATTCAGTCACCAACACCAGCCTTTTCTGCTTCCCAAGATGCTCTCCTGTGCACCCTACATCCCAGACACAGACCTCATAAAGTATGTTGAACTCCTCCTCCAGCTCACTGGTGCCAAGGGGTTTCCACCCCAAACCCCCTTCTACACCAAATGATTAGCCTCCCCTCAAAGTGGGGACAAGTCCCCACCACAATCCTTATAACTGACTTCCAACGGAAACCCCTCATTTCCTCCTGATCAGTCAACTTCCCACAAAACACCTGCCCTCTCTCTATCCTACCATCACTCAGCCCCTCACCTTCTTTCTCATCACCCCATGCACTCCTAACTCCACGACTCCCAACATCCCTCCGACCCCTTCTCAAAGGAGCCTGACCCCACCTCCATCCCTCAGCCCTCCCCTAATTCTGCGCTCTGGCCCCTTCTCAGCTCACCCTAACCCCACATTCCTCAATCACCCTTCCCGGCCAACTCGACCCCTAATTCCACCCCCAACCCATTATCCAGCTAACCCCCATCTTCAACTCTACCCCCGGCCCCCTCCTCAAATAACCTTAACCTTCAACTCGAACCCTACCCTCTTCCCAGCTAACCTCGACCCCCAACTCCACCCCCAATAGCTTCCCCAGCTAACCCCGACCTCAACTTCAGTCACCTCCCCAGCTGACCTCGACCCCCTATCCTAGCCCAGACCCCCAACTCCAGACCCCCAGCACTCTCCTCAGCAGACCCCGACCCCCAAGTCCGCAGCCAATGGGAGCCCTCTCAACGACCGGCCCCTCGGGCTGCCCGGGCCTGCCCTCCGCCCCGGCCGCCCCCGACCCCCAGCGCCCGAGTTGGGGCGGCGGACTTCGGCCGGGACCACTACCGCACGCGCCCTTACCCGCACTCCGGCCGCCGCGGCCGACCCAGCTCCGCTGCGCAGCCGAACCCGCCGCCTGAAGTGCGAGCGCTCGCTCCCCCCTGGGGGCGGGGCCGGCGCGCGGTGGGCAGGCCCTGGAGACCAGCGCAGCCAATCGCAGGCCCCGGCGGCGGGAGCCCGGGCCCGGAGCGTGGCGCAGGACGAGCAGCGGGGTAGGCTGCGCGCAGGCGAGGAGGTTGGGCTCCAGCCGCTAGCGGGACCTGGAGGCGGAGCGCTGAGTGGCACTGTCGTTGGCCACCCAAGAGCGGGTACTGCGCGGGGAGCGGAGCTATGCTAATGAACAAATGGAACGCGTTGATGGACTCCGCGGCCCGGCGACTCGCGGATTTTCAGAGGCGACTCGGTGACGTCAAGGAGGAGCGAGGCTTTTCTCGAGTTCGATTCCCGAGCGGGACCGCGGGTTCGAATCCGGAATCCTAGATGCTGGGGCTCGCTTGTGGAGCGAGAAGAATGTTCCTTCCTGATCAGTCGCCTGACCTACAGGACACTAATAATAAATGTTCCCTTACGTTGAACCCTCTGCGTAAGGTTTGAAGAGAAATGATAAAATCCTCATTTTACAGAGGGGGGAATTGAGTCTCACAGAGGTTAAACCCAAGATCATTCGCTCAAGCCTGTCTCATAATTTCCAGTTTTTCATTTTTTTAAACAATTCTTATAAGGATAAAGTACCATTTTTTTTTTTTTTTACCTTTTTACCCCATTGGCACCCCCCACCCCACCCCACCTCTGCCCCGTCCCCGGCTTAGTTGTCCATGTCCATTGGTCATGCATACATGCATATAAGTTCTGTGGTTTATTTCTTCCCACTCCCCCACCCCCCCACCCCCTCTTCTGAGGGATGTCAGTCTTAAAGTACCATTTTTTTAATGTGTGTGTTTTTAGTTGAATTTTTAGAGAGAAGGATAGAAACATCCATGTCAGACAAACATTAATCTGCTGCCTCCTGCAGCCCCGACTGGGGATAGAGCCTGCAACCTAGGCATACACCATGACGGGGAATCCGAAGGAGACCTCTCAGTCCACGGGACACGCTCAATCCACTGAGGCACACCAGCGGGACTCCACGGTTTTTCTTTCCTAACTCCTGGGCCCTCACCCATATGGAATGATCCAGAATCTTGCAGGAACTGGACCCCTGGGATGTGCACTTTTAACACGCTCCCCTGGTGACGTTGGAAAACACTTAGTATGTCTCCAAAAGCATCCAAAGCTTATGGAGGAGAGAGTTTTTGCTTTGTTTTGTTTTGTTTTTTCTTTATTGATTTTAGAGAGAGAGGAAGGGAGAGGGAGAGAGAGAGATGGAAACATCGACTAGAGAGAACATCAATTGGCAGCCTCCCACATGCCCCCACTGGGGATTTGGCCCACAACCTGGGCATGTGCCCTGACCAGGAATCCAAACGGTGACCTCTTGGTGCATGGGTGGACGCTCAACCACTGAGCCACACCAGCGGGGGGGAGGGGGGAGTTTTTATACAGGAGGTTGCAGCCACCATATTCTGGACTTGAGGAACTTTGTGCAACACTGAGGCTCTGTGATCTGAGCTGCTGGCCTCCCAGCTGGGCGCTCCAGGGCTCCTGTCATCTGGGTAGGAACCTCCCTGCTCATCCCCTGCAGTGCACAGAGAGAACCACATGCCTGGGGCGAGCATCTCACTTTCCAATTTACATTCCTCAGAGAAATTACTGTCTGAACAAGAATCTCTAACTAGTGGCCCCACCAGGCTTACTGTCTGAACAAGAGTCTCCAACTCATGGCCCTCGGGCAAGATGTGGCCCAAATATCCTTTAAAAATTCCAAATTCATTGCCAACATTTAAAAATCAGGCAATTCACAAAAAGAAATCAGGAGTTCCAGGTGCTCTTGAAAAATCAGAAGGTCTGGTGATTCCTGCAGCAGTTGGGTGCAGCAGCTGCTGAGGCAGGGCCAAGACCGGGGTGAGGCAATTTTTTCAAATCCAAAACCTAAAGGGGCAGGGGAAAAAGTCCTTGCCATCAAGATATATACTATGTCAATGATATATTTTAGAATTTCAAATTAAATGCAGAAATAATCCAGGATGAACAAAACACCAAAATTTTCAAGAAAGACAAAATGTGCTGGGTGTGGCTCACTGGATTAAGCATCGTCCTATGGGCTGAGGACCTGGTTCCATTCCAGGTCAGGGCACATGCCCGGATTTCGGGCTTGATCCCCAGTGGGGAGCGTGCAGGAGGCAGCCAATCGATGTTTCTCACATTGATATCTCTCTCTAAAAAATCAATAAAAAACATTTTTAAAAAAGAAAGAAAAAATGTACTCTGCACTTGTGTAAACCATCTCCCTTGCTTCTCCCTAGCCCAGGCCCTGTCAGATCCTGTACTTATCTAAAAGATTGATGGCCCTGGCAAGTGTGGTTCAGTGGTTAAAGTGTCAGCCCACGCATCGAAGGGTTGCAGGTTCAATTCCCAGTTAGGGGCACACACCTGGGTTGCAGGTTCAATCCCCACCCCAGTTGGGGGGCATGGAGGAGGCAAACAATCCGTCCTTCCTTTCCACTCCCTCTAAAAATCAGTGGAAAAATATCCTTGGGTGAGGATTAACAACAACAACACAAAAAAGCCCAGACTCTTCCCACAGCTCACTGGGCCCTGTTTGACCCTGCTCACCTCTCTGATCTCCTTGGCTACCACTCTTCCTTCACTCCTCTCCTGCCACTCTGACCTTCATTGGTTCCTGCCTCCAGCCTTTATACACGCTGTTCTCCCAGCCTGGTGCTCCATTCAGATCATCCTTTTGGTGCTGGCCTCTACTTCTCCTTCCTGTGTCAGCTCAATGTCACCTCCTGAGTCAGCTTGGCCTCCCTAACCACCTGGACCCTTTTCCCCATGTCACATTTTGTGGTCCAGGTTTCCCTTATTCACTGCATATATCTGAAATTATCTGATTCAGATCTTTGGTGGGAGAGATGTCCTCTCCCCCAGTAGGTTATAAGGTCTGAGAGGTTTGAGTTGCTCATTGCTGTGTGTCCAACATCCAGGAAAGGGCCAGGCACATAGTGGGTGCCTATTACATACTGGATAAATGAACGAATAAACAAACAAATGAATGGATGGTGTCTCAGTTCTTCTTCCCAGTCTGTCCTTGAACCAGGCCTTATCTCTTCCCACTGAGACACCTGCCTGGCCTGGTCTGAATGGGTGGGGAGGAGGCTGAAGTAGCAGACAAGAAGTCACATGGGGCAGGTGAGAGTGTGAGGAGGAGAATTCCTCCCTGTTCAGTTCTTCAACACCCCAGGCTTTTGTGAGCACCCCTATTCACCCCCTCTGTGAGCTCTACAGGGAAATCACCCAAGTTCACAGAAAATCCAGGGAAGGTGCCCCAGGTAATATATGCAGAGTGAATGGAGAAACCAAGGCCTGGGGGAAGAGCCTGGACCAGAGCTACACAGGGCCAGGGCTATCAGAGCCCAGTCGGAAGCCCTGGAACCCAGACTGCTTCTGCCTCTCCTTCCTTCCTCATGGCCCTCACCACCTGTCACATCCCCATCCCTCACCTCCCTACACCCACAGGGCTCTCACTGCCCAACTCTCAGGTCCTCCCTTCCTCACCCCCATTATTTACCCCTGTCCCTAACCTCTTTCATCCCTCACCTCCCCATCCTTCATGTCCTCATCCTTTGCAGATGGCCAGCTGACCCCCAACCCCAAAGAAGGAGCACTGGTGGGGAATGTAGGATCCACTTCTTTATTGCAGGAAGACTATTTCTAGAGAGAATACTACACAGACCCCACATTGAGGGGTGGGGGTACCCACATGCAAGGGGAGAGGGGGCAGGGGCAGGATCACAGCAAGCATGGCCTGGCACGGTCCCCAGACCCAGGAATACCCAGGCAGGACAGGCCAACAGCCACGGCAGTCTCTGCCCCCTCCTGCTGCAGAACCCCTCAGTCCCCAGGGTCAGGGCAGGGCCTGAGGCAGGAAAAACCTGGAGAGGTGGGGCCCCAGGGAGATTGTGCTATCAGGGTGTGTCCCTGAGAAAGGGCCTGCAGACCCCTGCCCAGCCTCACCCACTCAGGCACCTTCAAGGCCCAGGAACTACTCCCTGGGTTGGGGAGGGAGCAACACCAGCTGCTGGTGGGCCCTGGACCTGCCACAGGATAAGGGGACTCAGCTGTGCTCAGACAGAATGCTACCAGCTCTTCCATGGGCTTGTCTATGTGCCTGGAGGTCACACACACACACATACATACTCCCTCTCTCTCATAGTGTGCCCCATAAACATTGTGGAGTGAGCAGTCACATGAACAAAGAGAAAAATAAACAAGCTGTCACTAAGTTGGACACACAGTCCCTCTTATCTACACACAGTCCCATGTGGTCATATGACTGGACAGCCACATGGCACCTCTCTATTTCTCTCTCTCTCTCTCTCTCTCTCTCTCTCTCTCTCTCTCTCTCTCTCATGACTGGACAGCCACATGGCACCTCTCTATTTCTCTCTCTCTCTCTCTCTCTCTCTCTCTCTCTCTCTCTCTCTCTCTCGCAGTTCAGTCTCAGAGTGCGCAAGCGCAAACAAGCACATACACATGCAACTTTCTGACACCCATTTCTGTGAGGCCCAGGGAGAGACTCATGAGGCAGGGACATGAGGGAAACTCCTGCCGTCAGCCAGTGAGCAACTGAGGCCCTCGGTCTTGCAACTTCAGGGAACTGAGTGCTGCCGACAAGCACTCAAGTTGGGAAGTGGGTCCTTCCCCAGACAGATCTTCGGATGAGACTGAAGCCTGTGCAGCACCCTGATTCCTGCCTCATGAGACCCTGAGCAGAGGACCCATCTAAGCTATGCCTGGACTCCTGAATCACAGAAACTGGGAGATGATAAATGTGTGTAATTTCAAGTTGCTGAGTTTGTGGGTCATTTGTTACATAGCAGTAACTGACTGGCACAGATTTTTAGCTGAGAAGACACCTTGCTATAGAGTAAGACATGGTGAGAACAAACTGGTTCACAGATGCTCTCCAATAAATCATGTCACCCACTCCCGAAAACACAGGCACTTACAGTCATGCTCATGCTGTTACATCACAAATATACTGACCAGAAAACAACACCATCACCCACCCCTGTTATTAAATACACAGACTGTCATATTAGAATACCACCCCAGTAACAGACACACACAGGTGCACACACAGACACATGTGTAGACACATTGGCCCCTACATAGCAATTTGCACAAATACACCATCACATGGTCAACCCCCCACCCCAGCCTACAGGTCACTTTCATTGTCATACATAGCCCCACAGGGTCCCATGAGTGTAGAGTTATCTAGACACGTACACCAAAACACTCAGGATCTCATGGTTGCAGACACCCCTATTCCAAGACACACACCTTCCTAGGGACCCCCTCTCTGGGGTGCAGGTGATGGGAGAAAGTGGGCTGGGTAGGGCTCTGCCTTTAGCCTCCTCAGATCCTGCTGGTGAGTCTGATCACTTGCCATAGGACAGGGACCATGGCACCCCACCCAGCACCCCAGACCCTCGCCTGGGGCTCAGTGGTGATATGCTGTGCCAATCTTTGTCTGCGAGCCATGTTCAGGAGGGTCCCCCATTTTCACACCAGGCAGTCCCCAAGTTGTGCTGTGGCCATTGGCCAGTCCCGGGCCTCCCCTGCCTGCACCCCAGGCCCAGGCTGGGAGAGGAGTGGGATTCTGGGCTAGCAGGGCACTGCTGCAGGCCCTGTGGTTACTGCCTGGTGGCCTGAAGTCCATCCTGCAAGCTACTCCCCCACCAGGCTGTAGGGACAGAAGTGAGAGGGGTGGTCTGGACCCGGGGCAAGGAGCGCAGGCCAGACAGAGGTCATGAGGGTTGGAGGTGGGGAGTGGGAGGAGTGTATGTCAAACACCAAATAGGAGAAAACAAAATCTGAAGTTATGTGCATTTCAACTCCTCCTTCCCCAGCAAGGTCACAGTGATCTAATGGGTGGGGGTATCTCAGGTCTGGCTGGGGGCACAGGGAAAGGTACAGAAATGGGGATCCTGGGCGAAACAGAGACAGGCAGAGATGGGAAAATCTGGTGTCCTCGGTCCCCATATTCTCATATGCAGATTGAGGGGGCCACTTCTAGCACTTGGCTTTGGGGGGTACAGACAGGAGGGTGGGGCAAAGAGATGGGGAGGAAGGCATAGGGATGTGACAGAGCTGGATTGGAGCCCCAGAACTGCAGGGCTCACCAGGGTCTTGGAGTGTCCTCATCAGGGATGTTGGATGATGGCAGAGAAGTGGATGTGATGAGAGAGAGGGAGAGAGAGGAGATGAGGAGAGGAAGGGAAAGGAGAAGGGAGTGGCTTCAGGGTGGTATGGGGAGGGGCGTGGGGCCAGAACACAGGCCAGGACAGGGGCTGTCGGCAGGAGGGTGTCCCAGGCTCACATGAGGATGCATTTGCCCTTGATGCGGTCTGTCCTCTTCTGTTTGTTGGAGCGCTTGCCATCGATGTTGAGGCTCATGTTCCGGCGTGTCTCCAGCGTGAGCAGCTCCTGGAAGAGCTCCTTGACATTGTAGTTCATCTTGGCCGATGTCTCCATGAAGGCGCACTTCCACTCCTGGGCCACAGCCTGGGCCTCGCGGGTGTCCACCTCCCGCTGCGTCTCATCACACTTATTGCCCACCAGCATGACTGGGATGTCCTCCACGCTGCCCTTGATCTGCACAATGAGCTGGTAGATGGGCCCCAGCTCCTCCAGTGACTGCTTGCTGGTGACCGAGAAGACCAGAATGAAGGCATGGCCCTTGGAGATGGAGAGCCGCTGCATGGCGGGGAACTGGTGGCTGCCTGTAGTGTCGGTGATCTGCAGTGTGCACACGCTCTTGTCACAGCTGATCACCTGCCGGTAGGTGTCCTCAATGGTGGGGATGTAGGTGTCTCGAAATGTGCCCTTCACGAAGCGCAGCACCAGTGAGCTCTTGCCCACGCCACCCGCACCGAACACCACCACCCGGTAGTCATTACTCTGCTCAGGCATCTTCCACGCCGGGGGTGGGGTCGGAGCCGAGAGGGCTCGTGCCAGCTGCCAGAACCCCAGGCTGACCCTGTACAGAAAGGAGTGGCAGATGCAAAAGGCCACCTGGCCGGGAAGGGATAAGAGGGGTGGCTTCTCAAAGGAGGTGGCCTTTCTCCTTGTCCTGGGAAGGCCCTTCTGGTTGATTTGGCTGACTTTGCAATTCTACCCTGCATGCAGGCTCAGAGCCAGCTCCCTCTGCTCATCCCCCCAACAAAATCTGGGGCTTAAGCTTCTTCCCAAGGGACTCTGGGCTGGAAGAGATGTGAAGGTGACTCCTTTCTCCATGTGCATGCTCCCCCCGCCACTCCCCCAGGCTGCATGGGCTTTTCCCTTTCTTCTCAGCTTAACCATGGGCTCCTGCAACCCAGCAGGCCTGGATCAGTGACCTGAGAAAGATGCTCAGCCTCAGTTTTCCCCTCTGCAAAGTGGGTAACATGGTGCCTCTCTCCAAAAATCACAGGTTCCTTGCTCTCCCACCAGCCCGGAGGCTCCTCAACCTTGTGGGAGCAACTTGGTGGGATATCTTTAAAATGCAGCTTTCCAGGCCTCAGCCCTGAAAATGATTAATCAGTTGGCCCAGGGCCATGACCCTGGGCACCTGCATTTTAAAACCATTCTCCTGCTCTCATCCTGTAAGCTTGATCCTAATGTCAGGTCTGATATATTCGTAGCCACAGGCACAGAGCTCCCCAGAAGGGGGTCCCTTTATCATCTCTCCCTCTCCTGAGCTCAGAGAGGTCCAGTAGCCTAGGAAGCATAGCAATTTCAGCAATGATGGAGGTGGAGGAAGAGCCCTAGGCTAGGGGGTGGGAGACAGGAGGCCTGGCTCCAGCATCTGTGTCCTTATTTATAGAGCAGGAGAGACCCTTTCCCTTCCTCCTTCCTAGTCATATCTAAGGGTCTCTCAACATGGGGGATAGTCTACAGTGAGAGAGGAGACAATAAGATAGCACCTCAGCCAAGTTATTTCCCTTACAGGTGTATGTGTGTGTATGTGTGTGTAAGATCATATGATGTGAGTCTGGTGGTAGGAATGTGGGCAGATAACGTGGTGTCCTTGAGCCTCAGTTTTCTCTGTGAAACTCTGAGCAGTTGCAGTGCCCACTCCCAGAGTTGATGGGAAGATGGTGTGATAAGCAGGAGAGAGCCCTTAAGCAGATGCTTGGCACAAGGAAGCCCTCTATAGGGATGGACGAACAGGATTATCAATCACAGGAGCTCAGAGTGTAAAGCACTTTGCCTGTAGTGGGTTGGGAAAGCACATTCTGAATAATCAAATGTATCAGGTTTGTCAGAAAAAGATATACAATAAAACAGTTGGCACATACTCTACAAATTATGTGCCAGCCAAACTTCTAGGAGCTTTAGTACTACTAACTCATGATTGACTACCAGGCATATTGGTGACATAGTGAAATGCATGGCAGTGCTCCGTGTGAGAGGATGCTGGGTGGGGGCTGGTGAGGGGTGCTAGCCAGCTCTGCAGTCATTACCTTTTCTGGGTGGGTGCCCCGAGGATTGGGCACATGGTGTGCAGCCAGGCACCACCACAACTGGCCTGGGGACCTGAGGTGGCCAGTGACAATCAGTTCTGCAGCCCCAGACCCAGGCCTGGCTTTGCTCTGGGTGCAGATCCCCCAGCAGGGATCCAAGCCAGTCAGTAGGGGTGTCCTCCAGGAGAAGCCCCTCTGGGGCCTGGGATCCCTGAGTAGGAGCTCCCATTCAGTCACCCCTAGTCCATGCCAGGCACCCATCTGGTGCTATTTGAAAACCACCTTCACCTCCTGCAGGGCAGAAGTTGGGGGAGGGGGTCTCAGGCACTGAGAGTTGGAGTGGGGAGACACTGGCTCAAGGTCACAGAGCAAGGGTGTGACAGAGCAGAGAAGGATTTGAATTGGCCCTGGTTGGCCCCACAGCTGGGGTTCCTCCCCCTGTGCAAAGCAGCCCACACTGAGACTCCCCAATAGGGAATCAGCCCAGCCCTAGGTCCCTGGAGCTCATCTGGGGAAGTTGCAGCAACCTTAGGTGCAAGAAAGCAGGATGGACTCAGGGGAGAGCTTGGGGGAGATGCTTGCCCAAACTGGGTGGGGATGGTCTAACCAGGGACTAATAAGAGGCTTGGTGAGAGACGGCCTGCTCTAGGGAGCCAAGAAGGGAGAGACACACTCAGGGAGCCAGCCTAGAGGCTCCTTTTGGCCAGAGGAGCATCTAAGTAGTAGGCGAGAGGAACTGACCAGTGAAGGGCTCCTGAGTGAGGGGCTTGATTTGGCAGAGGATGGGAGGGTTGAGCAGGCATAGGTGGAGGAGAGACAGGCCCAGGGCCCAAGTAGCTCCCCTTGGAGGGGTCCTGGCTGAGTGGGACGACCAACCCAGACAGCGCGTTTGAAGGGGGCTGGAGAGGGGCTGGCTTGGCGGTGGGGCGCCCTACGGTTATCGTGGGGGGAGGGGAGGACGCGGAGAGGGAGCTGTCCAAGGTGGGAACGGAGGGCAGCCGGGCCAGGGCACAGTGGACTGGGGAGAGGTTCCTGTGCAGGGCCGGGCGGGAGGAGGGCTGGGCCCTTCAGGCTGGTCGGGAGGGAGGGGCTCGGACAAAGGAGACGCGCGCAGGGAAGGGCCCCGCGGGCCGGGCGAGTGGGATGCAGCAGACCCACGCCCCGGCCCTCGCCCCGGCCGCCTACCTGGGCTCTCGTCCCTGCGGCGCCGCCGCGGCTGCTGCTGGCTGGCTCCGTGTTCGCTTCGGCGCCGCCGCCCCCCGCGCGCCCGCCGCCGCCGCCGCCTGCCCGAGCCGCCGCCTGCCCGAGCCGCCGCCGTGCCCGCGCCGTCCCCGCGCCGTCCCCGCCCGCCCGCCGGGCGCCACGCTCCGCCCCTCCCCCGGGACCCGAGCCCCCGGCCAAGGTCACCGCCGCCCAAGCGCGCAGTCCCGCCCAGACCCCCACCCTGAGTCCCTTGCTCTGGACCCCAGTCCGGGGCCCCCGCCCAGTCCCACCAGCATGCAGCCCTGCCGGACTCCCTCCCGCGCACATCGGCTGCTGCCCCCCACCCCCGCCCACGTCGCTAGGACACCGGGGTGCAAAATGGGTGGGGTCTGCTTCTTCCGGATCCCCGTGTGGGAGCTGGAGCGCTCAGTCACCCCGAAAACCAGGTCCTGGGCAAGAAGGGGACGGAGTCGAAATCACCCTCCGGGACAAAGGGAAAGGACCTTTGGCAGAACTGCAGATAAGGGGGCTGGGAGAGCAGAATGGGACACCCTGAAGTTGGTGGGGGTTGTGGTCCAGCTCAGGGGCCCGCTCCAGAAGAGGTGTGTTGGTGGAATAAATAAATCAACCAATAAGTACTATATAATTTTATTAACCAATGTCTCCCAGTGAATTCAACAAAATTTTAAAAGAAAACCAATAAATAGATGTATGAGAAGGCAGAGGGAGCCCCAGGGGGCTTGGAGCAATGGGGGTATACCTGGAGACCATCCCCCAATTCCAGGGGTTGGTTGAAGGGGGGAGACAGAAAGTGAATAGGGCCTCCATCAGCCCACAGGGTGGGGGGAATGGCAGGTGGGCCCTTGATACATCTGGTGGAGCCATATAAAGATGCAGAGTGAACAAGGTTTTTTTTTTGTTTGTTTTTCTGGCATGAATATATCTTCCTCAAAGAGGTAACTGAGAATAAACGTTCATCTTTGGGAAGTATCTGTGCATTTGACACATCTGTGCGCACATTTAAGCTCGTAAGATGCCATCACACCCTACCTCCTGAAGACCTGGAGAGCACAGGCTCATTTCAGAGGAGATTGGACTTTGAGGTGCAACCAGGCCAGGGCGTGAGACAGCCCTGGGCACCAAGCCCCTGGATGGGGAGGCCAACGCTAGGGTCCCACAAGGAGGGGCTTTCTGGGGTCAGATACGTTGGAAGATGAAAGAGGCTCTTTGGTAGGTGGTGAGCTCCTCCTCATGAGGTATGTTTGCAGATGGTCAGATGAAGCCCAAGGACCCCTTAGGCTCTTAGTTCCTTGATTCTTTCTGTAGCTCTGTTTGAAGCAGACTCTTCTGGGCTTGAAGGGCCCCATATCTCCCGGACTCAGCCCCCCTGCTGCATCCCCAGGCCTCTTCTACCTGGACAGTCTTGCCTGCTTCCTTCCTGGCCTCCCAGGATGACCCACCAGCCCTCTTCCATTCCGGCATTCAACTCCCAGACTTCCACATGGGCCTCCCCTGCTCTAACACCACTTGTATCTCCCTTTTTTTTTTTTAATCCTCACCCGAGGACATTTTCCCATTTTTTGATCAGATAGAGTGAGAGAGAGAGAGAGGAAGAGAAAGAGAGAGAAACATCGATGTGAAAGGGACACATCGAGTGGCTGCTTCCGGCACAACCCAACCAGGGTTGGGGACAAACTGCAACTGAGGTACGTGCCCTTAGCGGGAACTGAACCCGGGTCTCTCTGGACCGCAGGTAGACGCTCTAACCACTGAGCAAAACCAGCCAGGGCCCGCTTGTATCTCCCTTTACCTCCAGGTCAAGGTCCAGCTTTCTCAACCTGGTATTCAAGTCCCTTCACACCCCCACACACACCTCCTTTCTGCCCTGTCCTCGGCCCAGTGGGGTGCCTCATAGGGTGGCCTGACCCCACCCTTCATCTTGGGGTGCTGTGAGCCAGACATGGAGGCAGCCCCATGGGGAGATCGATCCTGACTTCTGATCTAAATCACCGTGTCCCAGCCAAGTGCCCCTCTAAACCTCAGTTTCCCCATCTGTGAATGAGGACCACTATTGTCTGGCCTCTCAGGGTTGCTGGGAGCAATTGGGATGACAGCCACCTATATGGGGCTGCTGGGCACACAGGGGCTGAAACATCAGCCCAGCTCCTTTCCACTCTGCCTGCCTGCCTTCATCTCCTGAGTGACTGGGTGGTGCTGGGCCGGGCCTCTGGCCTCTGGCCGATTTCTGGCTCCAGGCGCCAGCCCAGGCTGGGACAGGCTGACTCATACACAGGATCGTGGGCACAGCAGTGCCACTCTGCAGTTGCTATTTATAGCTCTTAGGCCAGGCTTTCAGCCTCCAGAGCCAGGAAGGACAGGCCCAGAGTCCCCTCATTTTCCCTAGGGCACAGGGGCCCAACCCACAACCCAGCACCCAAAACGAGGACATCAGTACCCCCTTCCCTGTAGCCAGCCAGGACAGCTCTTGCTTTCACGAGCATAGTTATATGTACGGGGGACTTGCCAATTATGTCCCTTCTGGTAACCCAGGTGAAGAGAAGGCAATCTGCAATAGCTGGACCCCATCCCAGGGTCGACAATGCTGGGTCCTGACTGGCCACCAGCCTGATCCAGGCAGCTTGGGTTACTGTTCAGCCTATGGGCTGTGCTGTGATCAACCCCTCTGTGAAGTGGGGTTACTGAAGACTTCACGAGTAGGATGAATCCCTTTAACGCTTGAGTCTTTTTACAGTGCCAGGGCTGCTTCGGTCAATCAGAAAAAAGTACTGTAATCTGCAGAAAGACCTCAGGGCCTTTGCACAGGTCAGTCCCCCTGCTGGAAGCTTTCCTTCCTTATTGATTCACACACACTTGACTCACAAGGATTTCCTCTCTGACCATGTTGCTAAAATTGTCCCTGCTTCCCTTCACTTTGCTTTTTTGCTCTTATTTTCCCAATGTTGATCATGTAGATAATATCATGCCTACCTCCCTAGAATGTGAGCTGCCTTCCGTGGATCTCACTCAGGGTGATCCTGTCCCCACAGGACACTGGGCAGTCTAGGGACATCTGTGATGGTCACACTGGGGGTGCCCCTGGCACCACGAGAATGGGGCTCAAGGATGCTGCTCAACACCCATGTTCAGATGGCCCCCCACAGAGAACTTGGCGCCCCAGTGTCCAGGGGAAGATCCTGCTCTAGGGGCCAATTTGTTGGGCCTGAGTTGCTGGACCTGAACTAGTTGAGGGGGCCCACCTGGTCTCTCAAGGGAGAGGGCCTGTCAACCATGGTGGCTGTGTACTTTCCTCAAAATGCAGGTCTTCAGCCGTGTCTCCCATGCACCCAAAAATCAGGGGCTCTGAACTGCTCACCTGCCCAACCCAGTACTCTCCTGCCAGGCTGGGAATGCAGCAATCATTTCAGCCCTCAGAACACCAAGACCTGCCAGGTCAGCTATTCTTGCCCAGGGAGTTGTGGAGGCCTAGGGGGTGGCAGGGACAGAGAAGGTATCCCTGCTCCAATCCAGTCTGGACACAGCACTCTGACAGCCCAGAATAGAGTTCTAGGGTCTTCACAGAATCACTCATACACCCTGCAGCAGCCCCCTCTGCCCTCGGGAGCCCCAGCCCCTTCCCCACCTGCAGGTGGCTCTGGGAAGGTCAGATAGGCTGGTCACTGGTTGTCTTGAAGCTGGAAGACAGCTCAGAGGGCATGGGCTGGGACCAGTGGGGTGCATGCCCTTCTCTTCTCAGCAGGGTTGAGGGTCCATATCGGTGGCCAGTGCAGGTCTGAAGGCGCTGTGTGCTAGGAGACATCATTCTATTTGTTGCATGCTTTTTGGGCCCTAAAGATGCAGACAGGCCCATGAATTGGTGTTCTCCCTTTCGCGCCCCACAATAACTTTTCCACAGGAAACCCAAACAGCAGACAATAGAAGCCCCGACACACTGTTATTACGGTTGATTCAATCCATGAGGTCTGGATACCGCCTTCTAATTTTCTTCTCTTTCATCTCCAGATCAAGCAGGGGAACCCAGTTGACTCCACCCAGCTGTTGCCCTGTGTGGGGCATACTGCAGAGAGCCCTAGGCCCTGTGGGGTGCTGAGTAGCATCCCTGGCCCCCCTACTCAATGCCAGGAGTATCCCATTGTGACAGTGTCCCCTGGGGGGCAGAATCACCTGGATTGAGAACCAGAGTTCACTAAGATCCTTGAGGAGGAATCTCTGCATCCAAGGGCCATGTTACACCTCCTTAATGTCAAAAGTTACACAGACAAAGTCTTTTGTGGCCAATGTCCTGTTTTGTGAGTGTACTGGTCCAGGACCTTGGGTGATAAAGGACCTAGTCTTTTTCAAGCCCAAACTCCTGTCACAACATGGCAGTGCTCCCTTGTCAGAGCTGGTGTGGAGTGGAGCTGCTGAGCTGGACTCAGAAGACCATGGAAGGATTTGGCCACCATTGGCAGGCAGACCTCAGGAATGAGCGTTGCATCTTTAGCCTCTGCCAGATGGGCGGACCACTCTTCCTACCCCACCGTGGAGACATTCTGATCCTTGGCCAAAGTGGCTCTGCTTCCATATAGGGTTCCCGCTGGATTCAGAGGCCCCTGAGCCTTCCTTTATGCCTCCAGCCCACACCCTGCCCAGACCCATCCTCCCAGCTGAAGGTAGACTCCAGAATCTGGTGGCTCCATGGTGACCAGCCCACCTGGAACCTTCCAGTTCCTGGGTGAAGTGCGGGCAGGTGGAGGCCACAGCATTGGGTTTAGGACACTGGAAAGAGGATGATGTTCCCACACCCATAGGGTCATTTTTCTTGCTTGGGGTCCAGAGATGGATCCTTGGTAAAGGTTTCAGATAGAAGTTCCTAGAAATGGGCCTGATACTTCTGACAACACCAGGGTGGGACTCAATAGAGTGAAAGTGTATGTGTGGGAACTTGAATACACATCCCAGCTCTCCCAGACACTTGTAAGAGGCAAGTCTGTGGCGAAGGTTGTGCCTTCTCATACCTTGTGCTGAGTGGGCTGAATGGGCAGCAGCAGGCCAATCCCCGGGGCACCCACCCCTTGATAAGCAATTAACTGCTCCTGACATTCCCAACCTGGCTGGAGTGACCACAGAGTCCAAGGCAATGGGAAGAGGGACGTATCCGTGTCAGGGAGCTTACATGGCCCTACTGCAGCTTTCTCTGGCGCTGGTGGGCACAGGAAGGAAATCCCAGATTTCAGAAAGGTGCACACCTGGGCCCTGGGCCTCCCAGCTGAGTCAGGAAGCAGGAACGATGTAACAAGCAGGCCCTAGCAGCCTGGGAGAGAGCTGGGAGAAGCTGAGGTTGGGCAGGAGAACCTGGCCCAGGCCACCAGGCCCAAGCATCCTCCCACCACCTCTGAGCCAAGCCAAGCAAATCCCCCAGGAGAGGCTCACCCCACTCCCACTCCCCAGGCATGCCCCAGGTTGCCGAGACAACAATGCAGGCTAATGAGAAGTTGCCATGGCACCAAGGGTTTGCACCAGCCAAACACTTGGCTGTGCCTCTGCTCTTATGCACCACCTGGGACTGACTTCCTTTGTTTGTGTCTGTGGGGGGAATCAAGTCTTGTGACTCCTGCCCTACAACCTGCAGGGTCCATCTTGCTCCAGAGACTCTAGGCACACATTGGGACTATGAACCAATGGCCAAGGTGTTTCCTGGTCCTGCCCACACATCTCTCAGCCCATGGATCTGTTCCTTCAGGGAAACTACACGCTCACCCTGGCCCAGCAGCTTCTGCCCCCAAGAGGGCAACCTTCCCATTGGGGAGGACAGCACCAGAAGGCAGAGAAGGAGACAGTGGTCCTGAGGCACCCAGGATACTGTCAGTCCCTGTGAAGGCAGTTTCAAATGGTAGGAGTCACAGATCTGTCCCGTCTAACTGCAGAATGGATACTCCATGCTGGTGGCCTTCTCTGTTAGCAATAGAGCAGGTTGGGGGTAGAGGACAGAAGCCTCACAGTCTCCAACAGCTCCTGTCCTGGTCCACAGTTAGGGTGTGCAGGGAAGGGAGGGTCTTGAGACCTGGTCCCATGTGGACACCAGGCCCTGTCTCCCATGTGAGTTGCCAGATCCCCATGCCCAGGTTGACATGGCCACACAGCTTTGGTAAATACTTTTAAGAGAAGTATTTTACAAGTAGTAGTGTTGCCCTGAGGCTCGGGATGTAGAATCTGGGGCACAGCCTGGTCTTGGATAGCCCCTCTGTGCACAAGCAGTGGTCCAGGGCCTGAGCTACCCAGTGGGGGTGGGGATGGGAGAGATGGGGCCTGTTTCCACCCCAGGGCTCCCTGAGGACTTTGGCAGGGCAGGACAACCAAGATGAATAATGATGGCAATGGGACATTCACCACTTGAGGAAGACCATGCCGGCCAGCACGGTGTAGCCCAGCACCAGAAAGAGGACTTTGAGCAGGCGGTCATTCTTCTCCTCCAGTTCCTTCCCTAGGATCTCAAAGAAGGTGACAAAGAGAAAGGTGCCACCCACCAGACCCTGGAGCAGCACCGAAACCACACTGCTGGGCACGCCCTGGGCACTCTTGATGCCCAGGCCAACACTGATGCCCAGAGGGATCATGGCACTCACGGTGACAGCCAGTTTGGCTGCTTCCCTCAGGGGCATGGAGCTCCGGGCCATGTTGATGCCCAGGGCCACAGCTACCAGTGTCTCATGAATGGCCACACCCATGAACAGGCTTACCACCTTCTCCCCCTCCTCCTGTAGGCCCAGGGCCAGGCCCTCAAAGATGGAATGGGCTGACAGCGCGAAGACCAGGCTGAGGAGGCGCAGGGGGCTGGAGCGTGACAGCTCTTGGACATTCAGCCCATGGCTGTGGGTGTGGGGCTCCATGTAGAGTGCATGGCCCCGTGCAGCCCCCATGAAGGGGCTCTCATACTCTGAGTCACTGCCGGCATCTGAGCCGGCATTGAAGGTCTCCAGGTCGATGAAGGATGGCTTCTCCTTGCGGAAGGTCAGGATGAGCTGCTCTAGGAAGACGGTCATGAAGAAGCCTAGCATTACAATGGTCTCTGCCAGTGGGTAGTCGGTGCTGATGTGCCCAAGACTTAGAACCTTCTGGAGCTGGAGCAGAGGATGTGAGAGAGGGAGGACAGGAAGAGAGGTGAGAGGGGTTCAGAGGCAGGGATCCAATGCAACAGGGTTCATCCGACATCACTGTCCAATTAGCAAAGCACAGAAATACCCAATTCATATGAGAAGAAAAAGGGGAGGGGTTGATGGGCTCTATTATAAAGGAAGTCAAGAGCCCTCACTGAAGTGAGCTGAATTGTGGCCCCCAAAGACACATCCACCCAAAACCTCAGAATGTGGCCTTAATTAGACGATGGGTCTTTGTAGATATAAGTATTAAGGGCTGAACGGTGTCATCCCCCCAAAATAAAAATTCATCTATTCAATTCTCAGAGCCTCTAGTACCTCAAAACTAACCACAGTAGGAGAGATCTTTAAAGGGGTGGTTCAGTTAAATGAGGCTGTTAGGGTGGGCCCTACTCCAACAGAACTGGTGTCCTTCCAAGAAAAAGAAGAGACACCAAGACTACCATGTGAAGAGGTAGAAAAAGGGAGGCCTGAGAAGGACCCAGCCCTGCCAACACCTTCAGCTCAGACTTCCAGGCTCCAGCACTGGCAAAGAATAAATGTTTGAGCCAGATGTTTTGTTTTGGCCACCCCAGGAAACTCATATATAAGATAAAGATCTTGAGATGAGATCATCCTGAGTTAGGCTAGGCCCTTAATCCAATAACAGGTGTCCTTCTGAGACAGAAAAAGAGACAGAGACACACAGGCAGGTGGTCATGTGAAGATAGAAACAGAAATTGGGGTGACGTGTCTGTAAGCCGAGGATTGCTGGCCACCACCAGAAGCTGGGAGAGAGCATGGAATAGATTCTCCCTTACAGCCTCAGGACCCAGCCCTGCCGACTTCTTGATCTAGGACTTGCAGCCTCCACCACTGATAAAAACCAGCCCAATTCCTGCATGGGGTTTGCTTCCATATAACCCACTGGGGCTCTTTTTCCAGGGTCTTCCCATCACTCCTAGGTAAACGTTTGCAAGCATATTCAGCCACCTATCAGCTCCCATGAGTCAGTGCCATGCAACAGAATGTTCTGGATAATAGACAATTTTCTATCTGTGCTGTCTAACACGAGAGCCACTAGCCACATGTGAGGACTTGAAACATGGCTAGTACAGCTGAGGATTGGCATGCTGAATTGTAGTTCATTTTAATTCACTGAAACTTGACTAGCCAGGCATGCCAAGCAGCTGCCACACTGGACAGTGCAGTGCGGCTTTGGTCACTGTCCAGCAAGGTAGGCTGTGGGCTCTTCAAAGCCCGGGTTAATTTTCCCTCAATTCATAAGGATGCTTGCACACACCAAGCTCTTTCTAGACTTGGGGCGGTGCTACCAGTTCTGTCCAAAACGTTCTGCCTTCAGTTTTACTCACAGCTGATGGATGCTCATGCTTTGGGTCTTGGCTTATATATAATTTCCAAGAACCTTACCTAAACCAGGTGCTCCAATCTCTGCTTCCTGCTCCAATCTCTTCTTTTCCCATCACAACCTTCGTTAAAACGCATTCACACACAATTCTCATCTGGGGCAATCCTGCTCTCAAGGGAGAAGTGCAATGTCTGGAGACATTTTGGTTGTCATAATTTGTTGGGGGAGGTGTTGACACTGGGGCAGGATCATTCTGTGTAGGGGCTATCTTGGGAATGGTGGGGTGTTAGGCAGCATCCCTGACACTCATTCACTTGAAGACAGGAGCACCTTCAGTCATGACAACTACAGATGTGCCTAGATAACACCCAGTGTCCCTTGTGGGCAAGAATCCCCTAGATGGAAACCCCTACTGCAGCAGAAGGCTATATTCCTGTAGAGAAGCCACTTCATTCATATGCTAAATGTCTTGTGGAGGCCTGCATGGGTCCCACTGGGGGAAATAACAGCTCATGACAAACAAAATACTCCCAGAAAGATAAACATGGATTGGCAAAGACAAGGCAGACATGCAAAGGCCATGGCTTGTGGCACTGTTCTTCTTGTGGCAGTGCTGGCTGAGGCTGGGTGAGGGCTGGGAGGAACCTGAGCTGGTGAGGCATAGAAAGCCTGTGGGCAGGGATGCAGCACAGGAGTGGTTTTGGGGGGACCCTGAGAGGGCCACATGTACTGAAGGGGGACAGAGAAGAGCAAGGCCATTGCAGGAGGCCAGGCCTGAGGTAGGAGGATGGAAAGGGAGAATGCTGGAATTGTGGGGGGGGTTTGAAAGTGGCACTGAGGTGCAGAAGCTGTCATACAAGACTGATTTAACCTCGTTGAGGCCAACTGTATAAATATCCTGTGCCATGTAATGAAGGAACATAAGCTTAGCAGTATAAAGCAACACAAAAGCATCATCTCACGAATATGAATGTCAGAAATCCAGGCATAGGTTGCAGCTTAAGGATAAAGCAAGCAGCCATGTTGGGGAGGCTCATGGAGCAAGGGACTGAGGGCAGCTTTCAGTCAATAACCAGGAAGAAACCAGGCCCTGAGTCTCACATCTGGGAGGAGACTGAACCCACCTTATAACTACATGAACTTAGAAGTTGACCCATCCCCAGTTTAACCTTTAGATGAGACCACAGCCCAGTGGACACCTCAATTGCTGCCTTCTTTTTTTTTTTTATCCTCCCCTGAGGACATTTTTCCATTTTTTTCTTCAGGTAGAGTGGGAAGGAGAGAGAGGAAGAGAGAGAGAGAGAGAGAGAAACATTGACGTGAAAGGGACACATAGAGTAGCTTCCACCTGCACGACCAACCAGGGCCGGGGACAAACTGCAACCGAGGTAGGTGCCCTTAGCGGGAACCGAACTCAGGTCTCTCTGGACCGCAGACCAACGCTCTAACTGCTGAGCCAAACCAGCCAGGGCAATTGCTGCCTTTTGAGAACCTGGAGCAGAAGACCCCGCAAAGCAGTGGCCAACCCTTGACCCACAGAAACTGTGAGATAGTAAATGTGTGTTCTCTTAAGATGTTAAGTTTGTTATCATTTGTTACATAGCAGTAGCTGACTGACACAGGTGTTAAAGAGAGGCCACAACTGCCAGCTTCAGGACAAAGTATCTGCTACCAGGGGTAGGTGGTAGGTGGTCTGGTTAGGTAAGGACAAATGAGCCCCCAGGTCTAGTTTAAGCCCCTTGTTTACCAGGTAAGGCTCAGAGAGGAGAAGCAGCCAACTTGTGGTCACACAGCAAATTCATTTTCTGCTTCCCATCACCTTTGTGGTGTCAAAGACTCCACTAAGTTCAGGGTCAGAGTCGAAATAGCATCAGAAACCATTGGCCATAATGTATCAAGGACTGCTGAGACCACCCAGGGAACCCTTACCTTTTCCCTCACAGCAGGCAGTAAAGCATTGAAGCAGGTGGCCAGAAAGACTCCACCTCCAAAGGTGTTGCAGAGTGAGAGGATCTTTTTCGAGCGGTGAGCCTTCTCAAAATCTGTCTCGATGATCTTCACAGGGAGCAGGGAACCCAGAAGCATGAAGAAGAACACACCCACCATGCAAAGAATTTTGACCACTAACAGCTTCACCATGGTGACAGCCTGGGCTGCTGCGGTTACTGCAGGGCCAAACCATGTGTAGGTGCACACTCCTGTTCCACGATGTGCTATGGGGAGCTAATGCCTCAGTCCAGCCACTGTAAATATGAGGGGCAATCGCATTAGCTGTTGAATTATCTGATCAGATCTAGTGACCGAGCCCATTCCCCGCCCCCACCACCACCATACTTCACTCCATTCCAGATCTGACACATATCCCTGCCTCCGGTAGAAAATTCTCCATGGCTGTGATGTCCAGTACAGCAGTCACTAGTCACATGTGTCTGGTTGTTTTTAGAAAGAGAGGAAGGGAGAGAAAGATAGAAACATTGATCTGAAAGAGAAATTGATCAGCTGCCTCCTGCATGCCCCCCACCAGGGATCAAGCCTACGACCTGGGCCTGTGCCCTGACCAGGAGTTGAACCAGCGACCTCTTGGTCTGTGGGTCGATGCTCAACCACTGAGTCACATCAACCAAGACACATGTATCTGTTTACATTAAAATCAAAGAAAATGCAAAATTCAGCCCCTCAGTTGAGCTACCTGTATTTCAAGTGCTCGGTACCCATGTTAGTCTAGTAGACACCATATTGGACAGCACAGACAGAGAATGTTTCCACTGTTGCAGAATGTTTTATCAGGTGGTGGTGTTCCACTGGTTCCCCACTGACATCACATAAAATCCAAACACTTTACCCTGAGGCAAAGGCTCTGGGCCATCAGCTCCCACTTCATCTCACCCCACTCTGGCCTTTGTGGTCCCTAAATGTGTCAAGCCCATTCCTGCCTCAGGGCCTTTACATGGGTTGTTCTCTCAGCCTGGAACACTTCTCTCTCTGACCTTCCAATGATGTCTTGTCTTTTAGGTCACTGCCTCAGGACCCCACAGAAGAGCCTCCCTAACCGACCTCCACCCTATACTGTATCCCTTGTACCTACCCAGAGGCCTGCTGCACAACAGAGACTCAGTAACCGCTGGCTGAACAAGCATGTGGACCTCTTTACATGACTCAATGAGCCAAAGTGGAGCAGTTTTCCCCCTGGACCTGAAAATGTTACCATTATTATGAGGGACCTTGGCTGCTCCCCTGTCCTCACGTTTTTCTCCCAACATCCCAGTTCTTACTGACCAAAATCCCATTTCAGTGAACTCGATACTACCAGTTGGAGGTCTCTCCCACCCCCTCCCCTGACATTTTTCTGGCATTATATGTGCTACGGAGAACTACATAATTTAAGTCCCGGAATGTCCTCACTGGCTCTAGTCTTCGACATCTATGGGGGCAGCAACTCTGTTTTCCCAGCCCCAAAGCCAAGGTACACCGTAGGTGCCCAATAAATTTCTGCTGGGTGGCCCTATGCCCCAGTCTATGCAGTGGGGGTGAGGGTGGCCTTGACGCTCTCAAAGCCGGGGCTGAGTGGAGAACGGGACGGGCTCATTCATTTATTAAGCACTTATTGAGCGCTTTCTGTGTGCCCCGCGCGACACCAGGCGCCCCGCGGAGAACTCCCCGTTGTGGACGAGGCTCACCTGGCCCCCGCCTGAGTGTGGACAACTCGCGCTCTGCTGGTGGAACCGGATGCAAATCACAAAGATCTCGCCGATAGAGGTGAAGCCAGGGCGGACGACTCGTCCAGGCCTCAGCTAACGGGCGACAGTGTCCGCCAGGCCCCGGCTCCGCCCCGCCCCGGCCCCCAGACCCCGGCGTGGCCCCGGCCTGCACGTACCTCTGCAAGGCCCCTCGCCCGTCGGCCGGCACCTCCGGCTGCTCAACCGTCGCGCGGTCTAGACCCCACCGTAGTGCTCCAGGCAGAGGCCCGGGTCTGCGCGCAGCAGCCCACACCCCGCCTACGCCCCTGCCAATTGGCCTTCACAAGCGCCGCGGGATTAAAGTGCCGCTTCATTGACTGCTGCGGCTGCCACTCATCCTGCGACTCCACCTCTCCTACCGGCACGGAAAAATAGTTTCATCCCGCTAAAGCAGTAAGTGGAGCCACCGGGCGGCTCCGGCGGGGAACTCCGACCTCAGTAAAACGGTTCCGGGAGGGTTTGGCTCCCAGAGCTGTCCAGGGGCACTTGGTGCTGAATCTAGCTCGGATTGAGGCTTGGCCATCGATGGGGGATGATTTCCCACGGGAGACTGCCCCTCTCTGAGCGTCCTCGCTGCTGATGCCCTTCTCATTGGCTTAAGAAACAGATTTATCGGTTCAATATCTCTGCCTATTGCATGCCAGGACCTTTTCCAGGAGAACATCTGTGAACAAAAAAAGATCTCCTTTTCGGAGCTTATGTTGTAGAAGACACGGAAAATAATGAATAAACAAAATAAATAATGGAATTGTGTTAGAAGGGGATAAGTGCTCTGGAAAAATAGAGCCCAGTAAGGGTGGTTGGTTTCTATATAAATTAAGATGTCCTAAATAGACTTTAGACAAAGAAATGCTTTTTAAATGCTTTTATTTTATTTTATGTTTTGTTAATCCTCACCCGAGGATATTTTTCAACTGATTTTTAGAGAGAGTGGAAGGGAGAGAAAGAGAGAAACATCAACGTGAGAGAGACACATTGACTGGTTGCCTCCCACACAATCCCAATTGGGCCGGGGATCAAACCTGCAACCCAGGTATGTGCCCTTGACCAGTAATTGAACCTGAGACCCTTCAGTCTTCTGGCTGACACTCTAATCACTGAGCCAAACGGGCCAGGGTGAGAAAGAGATATTTGAGCAAAAACTTGAACATGGAGAAGTTAGTCAAGTGGATACATGGAGGCAAAGCATTCCACATAGACATAGACTCCTGGGGCAGTAGTGTACAAGAATGCCAGTGTGGTCAAAACACAATGAGGTGGGGAATTGTATTTGGAGACAAGGGAGGCCTTAGGGGCATTGAAAGGACTCTGGGGGAAATGGGAGCCACTGAAGAATTTTTATCAGAGATGTGACAGATACAACATATTATTTTTAAAAATCCTCACCTGAGGATATTTTTTCATTTATCTTCAGATGGAGTGGAGGTGGGGGGGAAAAGAGAGAGAGAGAGAGAGAGAGAGAGATGCAAGAGAGACACATCGACTGGCTGCCTCCCGCACGACCCCGACAAGGGCCAGGGACCAAACCACAGCCAAAGTACATGCCCTTGACTGGAATTGAACCCATAACTCTTTGGTCCATCAGCCGATGCTCTAACCGCTGAGCAAAACCAACCAGGGCAGGTCCAACATATTTTTTTTTTTATGAATTATTTATTTATTTATTTTTGATACAGATATTTTACCTTTTTACCCCATTGTCACCCCCCACCCCACCCCACCTCCGCCCCGGCCCCGGCTTAGTTGTCCATGTCCATTGGTCATGCATACATGCATATAAGTTCTGTGGTTTATCTCTTACCACCCCCTCACCCCCTCTTCTGAGGGATGTCAGTCTGTGCCCTACTTCCATGTTTCTGGGTCTACTGTATTCCTCAGACTGTTATATTCATTATATTCCGTATATAAGTGAGATCATGTGGTATTTGTCTTTTTCTGCTTGGCTTCTTTCACTTAGGATAATACTTTCCAGGTCCCTCCATGTCGTCTCAAAGGATAAGAGATCTTTCTTTCTTACCGCTGCATAGTACTCCATTGTGTATATGTACCACAGCTTTTTTATCCATTCGTCTACTGGTGGACACTTGGGCTGTTTCCAGGCCTTAGCTATTGTAAATAGTGCTGCTATGAACATGGGGGTACATATATTCTTCCTGATTGGTGTTTCAGGCTTCTTAGGGTATATTCCCAGCAGTGGGATCACTGGGTCAAATGGAAGTTCAATTTTTAATTTTTTGAGGTAGCACCATATTGTTTTCCATAGTGGCTGCACCAGTCTACATTCCCACCAGCAGTGTATTAGAGTCCCCTTTTCTCCACACCCTCGCCAACACTTGTTTGATGATTTGTTGATGGCGGCCATTCTGACAGGTGTGAGGTGATACCTCATTGTTGTTTTAATTTGCATCTCTCTGATGATTAGTGATGTTGAGCATTTCTTCATATGTCTCTTGGCCATTTGTATGTCCTGTTTGGAGAGGTGTCTATTCAGCTCCTCTGCCCATTTTTTAATTGGGTTCTTTGTCTTCCTTTTGTTGAGTTGTAGGAGCACTCTATATATATTGGAAATTAACCCCTTATCTGATACATCGTTGGCAATGATGTTCTCCCATACAGTGGGTTGCCTTTCCATTTTGATGATTGTTTCTTTTGCTGTGCAGAAGCTTTTTAGTTTGATGTAGTCCCATGTGTCCATTTTCTCCTTTATTTCTGTTGCCTTAGGTGATGTATCAGTGAAAATTCTGCTCCGTATGATGTCCGAAATTTTGTTGCCTACATTTTCTTCTAGGATTTTTATGGATTCACGGGTCACATTTAAGTCTTTTATCCATTTTGAGTTTATTTTTGTGTATGGTGTAAGTTGATGGTCTAGTTTCATTTTTTTGCATGTAGCTGTCCAATTTTCCCAACACCATTTATTAAAGAGGCTGTCTTTACTCCACTGTATGCTCTTGCCACCTTTGTCAAATATTAATTGAGCGTATTGCCTTGGGTCCATTTCTGGGTTTTCAGTTCTGTTCCACTGGTCTATATGCCTGTTGTTGTGCTAGTACCAGGCTGTTTTGGTTACAGTCGCTTTGTAGTATAACCTGATATCTGGTATTGTGATCCCACCTACTTTGTTCTTTTTTTTTTCAAGATTGCTGTGGCTATTCGGGGTCTTTTTTGGTTCCATATGAACTTTTGAAGTATTTGTTCTAGTTCTATGAAATATGTCGTTGGTATTTTGATGGGGATTGCATTGAATCTATAGATTGCTTTGGGTAGTATGGCAGGTCCAACATATTTTAATGGAATCATTTTGTTATTGTGTCAGTGCTGCCAATAGGTCAAGTCAGATGAAGACTGCAAATTGACTATTGATATATTTTAGATGGGGAGAAGGGAATATTGGGGGGGGGGAGCTTATTTATTTCCCTATAAAAGTAACCCAACTTATGAAGGAGAGGACTGTATTCATTTGCTAACTAAAATCTTATTGTCAGCCTACCATGAGCCAGACATGGGGAGAGATGTGAAGAATAATGTGGAGAATGCTACAGTGTGGATGAAACTTGAGGACATTATGCTCAGTGAAATAAGCCAGACACAGAAGGTCAAGTATTGTATGATTCCACTCACAGAGGAGTCAGATCCATAGAGACAGAAAGTAGATACTGAGTGCCAGGCACTGGGAGAGGGCAAGGAGGGTTAATGTTTAATGAGGACAGAATCTCAGTTTGGAATGATGAGATGGTGGAGATGGTTGCACGACATCATGATGCTTAGTGCCACTGAGCTGTATGCTTAAAAATGACTAAAATGACCCTGGCCGGTTTGGCTTAGCGGTTAGAGCGTTGCCTGTGGTCTGGAGAGACCCAGGTTTGGTTCCTGCTAAGGGCATGTACCTTGGTTGCGGTTTGTCCTTGGCCCTGGTTGGGTTGTGTGGGTGGCAGCCACTGGATGTGTCCCTTTCATGCTGATGTTTCTCTCTCTCTCTCTCTCTCCCTCCCACTCTATCTAAACAAAAAAATGTTTTTAAAAAATGGCTAAAATATTCACTTTTTTTTTTTTATCTTCACCTGAGGACATTTTTGCATTTATCTTTCAGATAGAGCAGGAGGGAGAGAGGGAGGAAGAGAGAGAGAAAAACATCAATATGAAAGAGACACACTGAGTGGTTGCCACCCACATGACCCCAACAGTGGCCAGGGACAAACTGAAACTGAGGTACAGACCCTTAGCGGGAACTGAACCCGGGACTCTCTGGTCCGCAGGCCGATGCTCTAACTGCTGAGCCAAACTGGCCAGGGCAAATGGTCAATTTTTTATTGTTGTTAATCCTCACTCGAGGATAGTTTCCCATTGATTAAAAAAACAGTTTTCTTTTCTTTATTGGTTTTAGAGAGAGAGGGATAAAGAGATAGAGACATCGATGAGAGAGAACATTGATTGGCCACCCCCTGCATGCCCCCGCTGGGGATTGGGCCCACCACCTGGGCATGTGCCCTGACTGAGAATCGAACTGGCGATCTCTTGGCGCATGTGTTGACACTCAACCACTGAGCAACACCATTGATTTTTAAGAGGGAGTGGAAGGAAGGGAAGGAGGGGGAGAAGGAGGAAGGGAAAGAGAGAGAAACATTGATGGATCGAACCTGCAACCCAGGTACGTGCCCTTGACCAGAATTGAACCCTCGACCCATTGGTCCATAGGACAATGGTCTAACTGCTGAGCCAAACCAGCCAGGGCTAAAATGGTCAATTTAATGTTACTATTTTACCACAGTTTTAAAACTTATTTGCACTGAATAGTTTCCTTCTTCACCACACCCCAAACTGGAGATTCCCATTGGCATTGACTTGGCACCAACAACAATTGGTTGACAATAGTTAAAGCCAGACTCAATACTACTATATTAAAGTCCTGTTTCTATTACAAAATAATTAATAAAATGGGGTAAAACAAACAAACAAACAATAAAAACCCCAAAGTCCATGCCCTCACAGTTCACAGTCTAGGGGGAGAGATGAATATTGATGAAATAATAACATACTGCAGTAGGCAGACTTCTAAGATGATTTCAAATGACCCCACATCCTTGTGTTCATGCTCTGGTGTGATTCCCTCTCCTGGAGTGTGGGCTGCACCTGGTGACTGAATTCTAACTAACAGAATATGGCAAAGTAATGGGATGTCTTGATTTCTGTTTTGCTGGCACAACTCTCTCTATTGCCTTTTCAGCTTCCATGCTTT